ATCCACTATAGATTAATGTACATGCTCTCTATCTCCAATCAAAGTGAAACTGAAACTATGAGGGTAAAAGAAATATGAGTGTTCTGAAGCACGGGAAACAGTAGCATGTCCGCCATCTTGTTTTTCGAAATTTTCGCGCATGCTCAGCGGTTTTTAAGCCGTGCCATGCTTGTCGTATTACTTTACCTCGTGTTTATCTGTAAAGATTTTTCCTCACAGCGGCTTCTTTGAAAACTGAATGTAAATGAACTAACTGTAGGGATTGGTCTACTTGTGCTACATTTGGGTTATCTCTAGAGACGAGATAGAAGAGCACCTGGACGGATGCTTTTGAGAGGTTTTTCAGGCATGGTTGAACCTTTAAAAGTTCATATTTCAGGACTCAGGTAGTTCATAATAAAGTCAAATAAAGTATTAATCTTGGTTGAATCGAAAAGAGTATTTTATCTTATGAAAAGGCAGCGGGTACCGACACACTGAATAATTTTGTGTTATACTGATTTACATATATAGATAATAATAACACAGCTATGCTATGATGTGTACTTACTTCATATTTTAGAATTCATGTTTCTTTCAGACTCTGCTTTAAGAGATACTTTTTCGAGACCTTGTGTAGTTGCTATTTTTCTTCGGGTTGAAAAGGATCGGCAATTTAAGATTTTCACGGTTCGTGTGGAAAGGCTTTTAATTTATTATACCAAATTTACCAAATGCGTTTCTGTGTGGATTGGGTTTACATGGAATTAAAAGAATAAATCATTGAGTAATGGAAGTTTATTCGCGTCAGTGAACAACCTTAGCTATGCAAATACCTTTGATGCAAACACAACGAACATTGAATTTCAATTTACTAAGTTTGATATGTTTTCCTTGATGTTGATGATAGCATATTTTATTAACGTAAAGTAAAGGCTGTTTTAAGATTTCTATCAAAACTTCATCGATTGACATCGTTTAGACATCTGATGTCTGCTAACAAAAAATTCAAACCATTCGAGTGAAAAGAGGAAACTGAAGACTTATTTAAACAATAATGAGGTTATTTTATCGAAGGCATCCCTTTTTTTAATTAATTCTAAATGAAATAAACTTACCTAGATCTTCAGAAACAACGCTGGCCAAAAGAGAAGAAAAGCACAAGTAATAAGTAAACGCAGAAAAAGTCATCCTTGAAACGATGCTCAACTCGAATATGCTAGAAATTAATGCATGAACCTAAACAAGTTGCAACCTTATAACCTTTCTGGCTTAACGAATCTGCGTCACACGTAGACGTACACAAAATAGGAGTAAGTATAGAAATAGGGCTAAAATAGAATGGTAGCGCGGGTACAAAGCTGAAACTAAAACGACTGAAACACTCCCAACGGCTGAGTTAAATAGAACGGCTGAAAAACGTACTTATTTTCTCTTTAAAAAAAGCAACGAAAATTACGCTGGAAATCATATTCACCCTTACCGCATGGTGAAAGTAGCGCAGAATAGAAAAATCAAACCGTCCTTTGGCGAGCTCGTGGATCAGTAGTTGCACTTTCCAGAGATTGGGCTCCCTGTGTCCTTATGCTTGTTGACATTCGAAGGTTTCAAAGTATTTCGCTCGACTTCATATTTTAAATACTCAATTTAGCTGGTAAGATAATTAGTCGTCCTTTTATTTTCCTTTTAAAATATTTCGCTCGATTTCGATAGATTTTACATTTTCCAACCGATTTGAAAATTGATGGATTTTAGATCTTTTATCAGTTACAGTCTCACCTCTTGTGAGCATCCTCAAGCTGCAAATTGTATCAAAAGCATTACTTGTTTGATATTAAACGTTTCCCATGATCCTCAGTGATCTCAGCTTTCTAGGTTATTGGTGACTAACTTTATTGAAATAAGTGTATACAGTAAAAAGGGATATATATAAATACTTAAAATATAAATACTTAAAACGCCGTTTTCACAACAATAGACTGCTCCGGAGCCCCAGAACAATGCCCGGAGTCTTCAGAACAATAGCCGGTGCACATTCTCGGCGCACTGAAGAATGTAACGGACGCACATTCTTGAACCCCGAAGAATTTCACATTCTTAGAGCACTGGAGAATGTAACGAATGCACATCCTTGAAGGAATTATTGTATATTCATCGCCACCTGGTAATGTATTGTTTTCAACTAAATTATGTTTTTATTGTTTAGTCTAGGTGACTTGTACAGAGTTATTGTTTAACTTTCGGTGCTCTAATCCATGCAGCCAATCATTTGTTTAAGATAAACATGAGTAGTAAACGTTATTCCACCGTCCATATCTATAAATTCGACTACCAAACTTTACCGATCACATTCCAACAACAAGCCTCATAAGAAGTAAACCCTAACTTATGTAGTAAGATATCAAGATGAGAAAATACGATCAAAGACTCTACGAATCGTATCGCAAAATGGTTAAGTGATGTGAGTATATAATATATATTGACCAATGATATATATTTTAAGTTTGACTTTTCTGAAAACTCTAAATTTATAGTAATTAAAATTTTCTCAAAACTGATTAGTCGTTTTTTTAAAAAATAGCTTTATAATCTTGTTTTAGTCGAATGAGTTTTGGGTCGATAAAAAAGCGGTTTCAACAGTTAGTTTATATATGCATAAATTACGCCGCCTAATGATTACTTGACCCAAGGTCAATGATTTTTAGAGCGACTGATTGCAAATGTTGTTGAGTTTGGTTGTGTCGTACATACTAAAACCATGATGTTTAAAAACAAACTTGTAAGAGATTTTCATACAGATTTTCATACGGCGTTACTCGTTGGCAAAATTGAAGTTGGTACAGAGAAGAAAGTAAGTGAATTCGCAAAGTAATACCGAATATAGCCAAGAAAGATATATGGGGAGATGTTTCCGGGTAACAAAACAAGTAACCAGATTGCAGGTGTCAAGATTCTTAATTTAAATAAATAATACAAGGAATTTTATTGCTATCTGAACTCGACATCTTAGAAATCTTTATATTGACGAAAAAATCCATACATTGACCTTTMAAATTTTGAAAAAACTGGTCAAATGAAATCGAAATAAACGGGCCAGTGGGACCAGCCCAAGGCCGGGTGCCTTTGTCACAAAATTGAGCTCTAATTTGGCTTTGCTTCATGGACTGACTTAAAGAACATTTCTAGTTGTAAATCTAGTACACAAACATTTTGATAGATGGAAAAACTATGTAAATATCCTACTCGAGTTGAATGAAGGAATCATTGACCAAACAAATTAAACATGGCAGTGAATCAATGTCACATTTAACCAGGAAACATTTCTAACTTCTAAACATCACGTAAGCTACGGTTTTTCTTTCGGCTTTTTCATCGACCCAAATCTTATTTGGGAAAAATAAGATTATAAAGCTATTTAAAGAACGTTTCTATCGTAATTTTTAGCGTGAATTTTACAGTAATCAAACTTCTAAACGTAAACTGGAACCTAGGTCACGCAATCACCAAAGATCGCGTTTTTTGCTCATATACCGACAATCTCAAAACCTTTCCAATGCAGCTTAAATTTACCAAACCACATTGAACTTTCAAACAACGGCACAAACATTAATTTCCTAGTTTTCAGGGTAAATTTCATGGCAATCTTTACGAAAATCCTTAGTCCTGCGTTGATTGGAGAAGCGTGATTTTCGCATATATTTCAACCAAATTCAACAGGTTTCTATGCAGTCAGAATTAATTTCCCCAAATCAATCTTTAAAGTTTTGAAAAGGTCTATTCTTCCTCAACTTGCAGCATAAATGTTATTTCAATCAGAGAACTTGCCCATAGTTAAATCTTTTTTTCTTTTGAGGCAACTAATCAGCATATGTAAACGCAGGCCTCCTATTTTCCCTCGCCAAAAATTCGTCCCTTTCCCAATAAGCTTGAAATCCAGTCCAATGAACGAAAAAGAGTGATACATTAAGAAGAAAGTTCAAAAATTGTCATAGATGGTTTATTTTTTACGCACGCTCTGTTCAAAGTTTGTCCATTTTCACTCATCTTGAGCGTCTCTTGCTTGGGTTTCAGTCGAACCTCTTCTGTGGCCGTTTTCTCGAAAATAAAATAATATTTTCGAAAACCAACTACTCAGGGATTCATATCTAATAATGGCCTATCTAACTTCAAAAGAAGAGCGAATTTGATTTTTTGACCCTTGCCACCCTTTGTTCGATTCTTGTGGACATTGCCTCTTAATTCCTTTTCCATGGTGCACGTCGATATATATCGATATATTGATATATTGATATTTCGGTATCGGCCATGCATAATTTTTGCAAAAGGCTGTATATATATATATATATACAAATACTCACACACAGAAAAAGATCCTTGTTGAATTGAAAATGATATGTTTTACAAAAGACGTCAAACCAGAATATTATCCAAACAGGGAACTTACAAAATCTATCTTACAAATTTCAATAAAGGTAACGAACAAACGCCGTAGGCTTCTATACCAGCAACACTGGTCCAGGGGAAGAGGGAGAGTCAACATCTACCCCAATTGATATTATGCCGTTAAACTCATCACACGCAGATGAGCTTGGCGTTGGTGCTTGGGTGGGAGGAGCCTCGGGAACTCGGCGGAGGTCAGCGGTTACAATGGCAACCCTGTCACCTCCCACCTAGCACCGACACACTGACTTGGCAGTGGAATACTTACCTATACTTACCTTAGTGGAGGGTGGGTGGGAAAACAAATAGCGTGGTGTAGCGTACAAACTGCGTAAGGTAGCGTTAGCGATATGAGATAGCGCATAGCGTTAGCGATATGAGATAGCGCATAGCGTTAGCGAAATCGGATAGCACGTGGCGTTAGCGAAATTGGATAGCACCCGATGCAAGCTTCGTCCCCAGATACCATCTGTTCATCATTCATCTCATTGCGTGAGACATTAATTTGCTTATCAGATGGCCGCGAAGCTATAGCCTTTTGATGAMAGATACTTGCGATAACAGGCAACTTAGTTCAAGTCTAACTTTGCTTAAATATTTTATTTAACCACATGTAAAAAGCAAGTTTTAATCGAAGTGAAAGGATAGTGCAAACAATATTCAGTGTTTTCCAGAGTGCAGTCAGTAAACCCGTGAAATATACGCGTAACCGTAAGTAGCATTAGTTACAGGCATGTACGGCTAAATAACTACGCGTATTTCACGGGTTTACTGAATGCACTCTACTAGTGTTTTTATACTGCTATTTAGTGCTAACTATATAGAACTGTTTCATGGATATATTGTCTGCATTTTTTGCATATTTACATATTATTATTTACTTATTTACATATATCTATACTTCTTGCCAAAAATACTTGCTTGCTGGGGTCAATCTGAAATGGAAAAGGAGGAAAAACTATGGCGCGCCAAACTAGACAAAAATACTTCTTCAAGAAATATAAGACTAGTTGTGAGAAATATAAGACTTGTTGCCGAAATATATGACTTGTTGTTGAAATATGACTTGTTGTTGAAATATATGACTTGTTGCCGAAATATATGACTTGTTGTTGAAATATATGACTTGTTGTTGAAATATATGACTTCATTGGCGCCTGCATGCAGTCTTCGATCAGCGGCACTACAAATGGCGAGCCTGCGATAATGCGGGTTAGCGGGTACTCGAATATATGACTTTGGTTTTTTGCTCTTTGGTTCATCACCATCATCATGACTCCCATCATCACTGCTACCTGTG